TCTAAGACTAAAGTGCCCGTCGACTGGCGGTTCAGCCTTCGCTGTAAAATACATCCCTGGTGGAAGCAACTGGTATGTTCTACAGGGGGACTGAAGCAGGCCAGTTTAAGGTTCACCAGGAACACAACCACTTTGACACTTAAAAAGGCCTCTGGTGAGAACAGCCTGACCAAGCCCTGAGCCACGGGGAGGTCTGACAGGACAGTCAGGTGAGAAAGGAGGAAAGGGTGTTCAAGGAGAAAAAAGGGTAGACTCTGACTGATTGTAGCGAGGGGTGACTAAACATGGTTGTATCTCGTTTCTGTAAATACAGAGAACATTGCACTTGGAGACAATTCACAGCGCTTGCCGCCTGTCTCCAGGTCAGCAGTCACAGAAATAAACCCTCCTCCAGCCTCTGCTCTCAGCCGACTGTGAGAAGCTGCAGCTGGGCTCGGTTGTCAGGTAACAACTGCAACCCTCCCTCCGCAGGGTCTCCGAGCCCCCTGCCTCAGCCAGCGCGGGCTGTGGGCATGCATGCAGACCCAGGCACACACAGGGACCCTCCAGGACCACCTGCCGAGGCCCCAGCAGCCCACCTCTGTGTGCTGCCTTCCGCCGGTGGTGGTGGCCACGGCACACCATCAGGGGTCCTGCACGCCTGTCAGGTGTGTGCTCACTCCCCGGGTGATGAACGTCATGTGCTTTATAGATGCCTTCATTTTTTGTACTATTTTGTTATGATTCTAAGCAAATAAAAAGTACTCAATGTCTACCTATCTTTAGGGCCAGGTCCCGCAGAGACGTTCCACAGGCTAACAGCCACGGCAATGTCTCCAATTCCCAGCGACACCCGCTGGCCTAGCTCACTCAAAGAAGATGGGGACCGTCCCCTCAGTACTCTCGATTTTGTGACAAATTTTTGTTCCCATACCAAAAATATCTCTTTGACTGGTTGCTTAGAATGTGTGAACACAGGTATTGTGAACAGTTTTGCTGGTACATCTGATGCTGGAAACCGCGGTCATAACAGATTGCCAAGAAAGTGCAATCATGCCCGTGAGCTGCTGAGCATCGGTTCCCCGAGGACTAATTACAAGAAACTTTCACTCTTGTAATCCAGGCCCAGACCTACAAGAAATCTTAATGAAAACACATTTCGATTTTCACTTAGCACACTCTCTAAACCCAAATCAGAATTACTTTTTCACAGGGCATGTGGACTTACAGGGGTGAGACAGAGGGA